TTTTTTAGAAAAATTTTAATACCACAACTCTAAAATATTTGGTTTTAATTTGGTTTTATTTGGCGGGGATTGTGGGTTTGTCTTTGTTTTAAATATGTTGTGAGCCGCCCTGAGTCCCGTCGGGAGAAGGGCGGGATATAAATCAAATAAAATGAAAAAAAAAAAATGAAAATCACGGGACAACTCGCCAAAGCCAATTCACCACGGGACAACTCACTGCAGGACTATTTAACAATTCTATTCTTAAATAAAAATTATATGCCATTCACATTTCATTCTGTCCCTCCTTTTGCATCCTTTCTTTAATGATTCTATTCCACCATTTCTTTGAGATTAGTGTAACTCTTGTCCTGCAGAGAGTTGGCCATGGCGAGTTGGTCGCGGCGAATTGTCATAGACCCCAGAGATTATATGAGTGCCTCAAGATGTACCTGTTGCTACCTAAACCACTACATTCTGGACCCTCTGTGGCTTCTGAATGATCTTCTGGCAGCGCCATGTAAAACTCCTTGCAGTAGTCCAATTAACTGAGGCATGAGCAACAATGAGTAATGCTGTTTCAGGAAAGATTGCAATTGGAGTACAGATGTGCAATGTTCTTTGCTCCTGAAGCAGGAGCTATAGATCCAAGACAATTCCTAAATTGTGAATCAGCAACTACACTCAAAGTTTACAATGGACTCTCATTAAAATTTTCAGACTTTTGAAACCAAAGCCACTCCATTTTGTTGAGGTTGTGTCTCAGTCTGTTCCTTCCTGTCCCAGGTCTCATTAATAATGGGCACAAAAAATACATAGTATATATTTATATTGTTTTTGTTTCTTATAGCAAATGTACCTTCCCTAAATGTGATTTGGTTTTCTGGCACCATAAACAGACAGGAGGGGAAGTACTGTAATAAAGAAACATCCAATCTGACATTCAGAGTTCAGGGATGGATATTGTATTTGTACATAATAATTGCAGGAAAATAAGAGCATCTTATGTGCAATCAGAAATGCATATATATTAATTTGGTTCCCGATCTTCAGATCACCTTCCTATGGAAAAAAATAGTTATTCCATTGATCTAATAGATTTCTTCTTTCACTATTTTTTAACAAACAGGGTAGAAGTTTGACAGAGGTGAACTTTTTAATTTTGTAAAGTGCTTTTCACTCTTTCCTCATTTGCTGTGTGTGTGTGTGTGTGTTTTACCGGCAACGTGTGAAAGTTGGCATTGTACAGAATGTCTAGCAAATCTATAGAATATGTGATGTTTTTAGGCAAAGAATAAAATATCTGTCATTTTAATATGCTATGTACTAGGCACTGTATATAATATCTAGGTATTATGCAGAATGACAAGAACTATTTAAGTTAAATGAATAAAGTTAAAGCCTGAGATTGCTCAGTTTTATAGCTAAGTAGGAGTATGAACTCAGAATTTTCAGATCTAATAGACAGCATAGGGATTGAAAGACACATAAGCATATCATGCCCTATGGGTTTATGTTGCCTTGTATTATATTAATTTTCCCAAAAGATGAAAATGTAAAAATTGAACTAAGGTTGGATGTAAGGGATCTGTTACACATAACAGTTATCTAGTTTTAATAGTTATTTAATTTTAAGAAAAAAGTAAGCAAATACTAAAAATGTAACATGGCAGATATTTTTCTTTCTTAAAAAAACCTTTAGGATTTTGTCCCACTTTATCAAGATTTTGAACACTTTTTTACAAGAAACTTCTATATGAGAATAAGAGATAACTGGAACCGCCCTGTCTGCAGTGCTCCCGGACCAAAAATTGACCTGTTGGAACGTGTTTCAGATGACAACAACTGGACATTTAGGTGGGTCAGTCTACAAAGTGTTTTTAATTAATATGAATAAAACTGTGTTCATTCTTCAAAAAGAAGAGGATATTTATGGAAATGTGAATCTATACATCACCAAAACTCTATTTCCTGCAACCTTCAGCTGGATGAAACAGTGTGCCACAGGGCAAAATGGTTTGAATCTCAAATGGGCTAAAATGTGTTCAAAATCCAGGACCCGTGACTCCCGTGGAATTGAAATTTGGCAAATTTTATAAAACATTTTATGATATAAACATTATCATAAAGTGATTTATGACATAGTACAAAAGGCCATAAAACATTTCCTGTGGCGATATTTGACTGTGCCATATTCAGTGTAAACTATTTTTGATACCTCTCTGAATATACCCCAGTGAAGGCACTGCATTAGAAACTGTGTCATTGTTGGAGACATTGAGGAATATGGTAAGGAAATATCTCTGAAACCATGACCGATAGGACCTGGACGTCATAGTAATTTAAAGTTAGAAGTGATGAGCTGAAGGATTGTTGAATGTTGTATAACCTCTATATTCATAAGGAGGCATAGAGGAAGAAAGGTAGTTCAAGGAATCTTCCAATAGCAATAGGTGAAAGGTTACCACCATTTGGGGTGCTGCTTCCTGTCTGGTTTATCTCAGTGTTGCCACTCAAGGTTAATTCAGCTTGCTGTAAATATTTTATTACAAAGGCACCTTAAGCATTCTATAAAATATGTCTTGTGCTGACACCCATAAAGGCATATTCAGGCATAGTTTGGATTTATGTAGAAAGTTGTGGTTGTCTTATATAGCTTATTTCTATAAAAAATATAGCTATATTTTTTTCCTGAAATATAATGTAAGATAAATCTTTAATGTGGTCTCTGATTAATATGTTTGTGTTTGCATGTGTGTGTGCGCACATGTGCACAAACATATATACATAAAATACATTCAGTATAAATTTAAAAATGGCATTTAAAAGAAGTCAAAGTGGAAAAAAAGGGAGGGGAGGGGAAAAGTTAGAGGTATCATAGAAAGCAGTTTTATTGGATAATATTTGTTACTTCGTACTTTCCTTAAATGAAAAACCTCCTTCAGCCTTGGCTGAAGAAAAGATTACCTGAGTTGATTCAGGAAGGAAGGAGGATTCCTGTCTCCTGGTATTAACTGAATTTTAAAAAGGATTTGGTTAATTCAAGTCTTTTAGTAATAATTAGATTTTATCTTGTTATACTTTCCTTGACTATTATAGGTTCACTGGAAGGATAATCAAGAATGTAATCAATATGAGTTCATATAATTACCTTGGCTTTGCAGAAACTGACCACAATGCTTTGAAAACAGTGAATTCAGTGTTAAATAATTATGGCACAGGAATATGTAGCACCAGACAGGAAATGGGTAAGTTAAAATTATTATTATTAAAATCTGAGTCCAGAAATCCTATTTAGAAGTATACTGTATATTTTACTTAATTATGTGTAGATTTGACTTCATTCATTTGTTATTCATTAACACATAATCTTAAAGCAATTCACTTGGGTGGCTGCTCTTATATTTATTTACCCAGATACCCAACCACGGCCATAAACAACTACCTATTGCCTAACCAGAAACTGTTAAACTATGAGTAACTATTGCTCAGCTGAAACTACTCATGTATAGGATTGCCTGGATTATAATCTTTGAATTCACTTTAAAGCTTTCAAGAAGAGGAGAGTGGTTTTGCTTATTCAGCTTTAAAATTGCATTTCAATTAACTTCATTTAAATGCAACATTGGCATGAAGAGTTGTTAATACCAGATGTTAATTTCATTTTTGTTCAAATGAAGTAAAACTCTATATGGCTATTTTCCCGGTGCTCCCTTAAATATGACATATTATATCATGATGTAGCATAGTGGTCCTTTCATGTTATGCAGTTGCACATTTTCCCCCAAGCAGATTATTATAATAGCTGAAAATAGAATAGACAAAATGGGAGAATAGTTATAGAACCCTTGAATATCTATTCATTTATTTCACGATCTGGTCCCAGTTCAAGGATATTTTCCATCAGCCTGGAAGTCCATCATCTATTAACATGCACATAAGTGAATGAAGAATTCTAATTCTGTGTCAAGCTGTGCTCAGTTGTAGTTCATAGCTATATTTATGAAGGCAGCAGCAATTTTTTAGGCAGAGGCATTGTTGTATGTAGAGATCCAATAATGTGTTACACACATGATTTAAAGAATAGCCTCTTTGTCATCAAAGAATTCTGAGCAGCTATGGTTATCAGAGTAACATTTTTTCATCCCTCAGCAATAAGCATTTCTCCCAGAAGATCCAGTTGATACCTAAGTATTGTTTTGATACTGCAATCATTTCCCACACCTGAATGTTTTTGATTTTGCAATATGTTGCCCAAATATGCTTCTTCTGGTGATTCATTAGTGGTAGCTTTTTCATAGTGACAAACAAAAGCAGTTTAGTTCTAAGAGGTAGCAGTTTATGGAGAACAGCAATGGAAAAAAAAGCTGTTGGCAAGAACTCAGCTGGTAATCCCTAACATGCCTATACTAGAGAAATATATAATTATATACTAATATATATAATTTGGATGATTAACACAGTTAATGAGTGATTACAGATTAACATAATTAATGAGTGATTACAAATGTATATTAATATAACCACATAGATAAATGCCCATAATTAGTACCATAATCAAAGCAACTGGCATATCTATTGATCTATGCAAAGGCTACAAAATCAATGTAATGTCCCTCCATATGTTGAACTTTAGCAATTGTGTTTTTTTTAAAAAAAAGTTTTATTGATTTTCTAGTTTTACATTTAAGTATTTAAAAAGCAACATGGCGGCTGGGTTAATCAATAGTTCAATAACATACAAGTGTCTTTAGTACAAATCTCAAACTACCACATTAAATATTTCCTCTCTTTTCCCCTTAATATTTACTGTCTCATGTTTAAGCTAATACAATTCTTTTTATATCAATTAAATAAAAATAACATTGTTACATTTATCAATAGTTTTTAGCTTATACATATCCTAACATTCACTCTTTATAGACAATCAATATCCTGTAATTAGTTTTTCCCGATTTTTAGTTTCCCATCAATATTTAAATTTAACATTTAATATTTATAATTTCTAAGTTTTAGGTAACCAAAGTTTCCTTTACCACAATTCATCACAAAATCTAATGTTCAAGATACATGTCCTATCTATTTGAATATATTCTATTTCTCACCATCTTACATCATCTAATTGATAATACAGTATAACATTCTTATTTTCTACTAATTCCCAAATGTCTTAAATTTAATGACCAAAATTTCCCTTATTTCAACATCAAATATTTCCTCTCTTTTTCTCTTAATATCTACTATCTCATATTTAAACTAATGCAGTTCTTATTTTATCAACTACGTAAAGACATGTTTATTACATTTATCAAAACGTTTTGCTTATATATATCTTAATTACTTTTATGTTCAATCTTTATAGATGATCAATATCCTATTTATTTGTTTTCCCCAATTTTTAATTTCCATCAATATTCAAATTTAACTTTTTATATTTATACTTCCAAGTTTTAAATGACCAAAGTTTTCTTTATCTCAATTCATAACATAATCTAGTATTCAAAGTACACATCTTATCTGTTTGAGTATATTCTATTTTAATTAATAACATAACATCCTCACTAGTAAATCCAAACCCCAATTTTCTTCAGCTGTATTCTAGCTTTCTTTCTTTGCCAACTCGCCTTCCATGTCCGTGCTTTTAAATCATCAAATAGATCTCCCTCTGTTATTGTATATATTATTTGAAATAAAAGAGACCATCCAATTGCCATTCTTTTGGAAGGACTAACAAATCGTCTCTCTATTATTCCATCTCCCTGTAGTTGTCCTGGAATGTTTCTCTTCCCTTCAATCTGTTCTTCTTGCTCCTCAGATTTCTTCTGGTTTATACAGAAAGTCTTTTCCATTTTCAGTGTTACCAGTCCCTCTTGTAGGTTTTCCATTAACTGTATTTGTTGATCCATTGAATCCTCTATCATAGTGTTTAATTGTTCCACTTCTTCTATTGTGTTCTGCATAGTTGATTCTTTAATTGTAGTCAAAATTAGGGTTTGAATATCTAGGCTGACATCTTGTTCTTTTCTATAGCATCTTATTTTGTTAGAAGCTGTAAGAATAGTTTCATGAATTACTTTCAACATAGAAAGAATCTGTTACTGATCTTCATCCATATTCTCTTAGTGGTGTATTAAATTTCAAGCTTTACGATCAGGGGATGAAAATAATTTTATCACTGGGTATAGAACACAGCTAAGCTTCTTCTCACAGCTGATATCTGCCAAAGTTGAAGGAGTCTTATCTGTAGTCTGGGCTTCAGGCCAAGTTTTAGACAATAACAGGTTGTAGTATCCGATTTAGCCACAAGATGTCACCAATGCCGTTTAACCTTTTTAAGTCCAATTTTTTTATAATTTTTTCCAATTTTACTTCTTTTTTGTAAGTAAAAACCCAAGTCTTCAATAGGAATAAGAAATCTTTTGGCCCCCAAATTTTAGAAACATATAAATTCAGTTAAAATAAGGTTATTCTTTCAACGTTTTAAACTCCCCTGGATAGTCAGTTGCCGCTGCTCTTAGAGGATGGGATTGGATTTCCCTTCCCTCTCTCCACATGGGGGAACATACTTTGGACAGCTTATACAGGTAGAAAAGATAGTTAGGATTGAAGAGAGGTTCAGATCTCACTCAGTCTCATCCGCACTGCTTTAGAAGTGCCTGGTGGTAAGTTTGACTTCGGCTGTCTGCAGCCTAGTGACGGCCCATATTTCTCTGGCCAGTCTTTCGTCTGTCAGTTTGGAGGACTGCCCCGGATCAAGCCCTACCGCCCTTCCGTGATCAAGTGGGGATCCCCTCCTTGCTTGTCGCCCCTACAGGGCGACTTTCAACCCTTTCCAGGGTCTCCCAGCGGTGCGAAATCGAACGCAGAAGACGGAACGTGGCCATGATGGCAAACCGGAAGTCGAACTTTAGCAATTGTTGTTTACCTTTAATGTTCCCAAGATGACAGTTACATGATGTGCTAGGCACTCAGGGTAATGATAGCAAGCTGTTATCCTCCAGATGTTTCGGCTTCAACATGGCCAGTAGCAATGGAATGTGGGAGTTGTAATCTCAAAGCATCTAGAGAGCACCAAGTAGTTTTAATAGTCTAAGAATTAATTCAGTATGTACAATTATAAGACCTGAACATATTACTCTAGTGCAGTGTTTCTCAACCTTGACAATTTTAAGGCATGTGGACTTCAACTCCCAGAATTCCACAGCCAGCATTGCTGGCTGTGGAATTCTGGGAGTTGAAGTCCACATGCCTTAAAATTGTCAAGGTTGAGAAACACTGCTCTAGTGGAAGGTCTGTTCTCTTTGGTATTTAGCTAATGTTAATCAAGAGTCCCTCTACCCTGAGCTTGTAGTGAAATATGAATTCTGGTTAGCATTAGCAATGGTTTTGCTGAAGACCCTGCAGAATAGATATCAGAAAAGCAAGAGTGGCTGAGCTCTCAAGATCAAACTTTGTGTGTGTGTTGTTTTTTTTCACCATAAGAGAAATTCTAATGGCTGGTGAACCTTCTGGATGTTTCAGAGATAATTTATCTTTGAGGGAAAGTTAAACTTGTGTAGCTCTTCCTTTGTCAATTTCTCAAGCTTGAGGAGCGATTTGTCGTTCAGTGCAAAACCACTATTCTGAATGTGTTTATTTTCATTCTAAGTAAAGCAGATTAGAAACCATGGAGAGTTTGAAAATTATCTGAGACATGAAAGATCAGACAAGAGGAAGAAGCAAAGTTCTTCATGTTATCTTTTTGTAACTTCTGACATGGCCAAAATTTTCAAATGCCTAGCTTGTTGCAAACTGTTACAGCAGTGAAAATGCCAGAGAAAATAGAAAGTTGCCTTATATTAAGAGAAACCATTCACCCATTTCATTTAGCATAAACTATAGCGATCCTTTCCTCGGACAAAATGTCTTTTCCCTGCCCAACCCAAGAACACAAGGACTGAACCTGAGACCTTTCGAAGCAAAGTATGTACAGGTGGTCCTTGACCTACAACAGTTCGTTTAGTGACCATTCAAAGTTACAATGGCACTGAAAAAAGGTGACTTACAACCATTTTTCATACCAGTCACCAGGGTCATGTGATTTACATTCAGATACTTGACAACTGGTTCATATTTATGACAGTTGCAGGGTTAGGGTTAGAGTTAGAGTTAGGGTTAGGCTTTGGTGATCTCTCAGTTATTGCTAATTGAAGGAAATGGAATGGGTGAATTTATTTGGGCAGCTCATTATTATTCAGTGCATGTATTAGAGTTTCTAATTTAACAGGAGGCAACAGAAGGAAAATATAATCCAAAAATGAAAAACTTTCAAGGGAGGTTTGGATATAAAACCCTTTTACATAACATGAAGATTATATATATCTTCAAGATCATGGCTACTCTCTAGTCACCGCGATGTAAAAAAGATGTTGAGACTCTAGAAAGAGTACAGAGAAGAGCAACAAAGATTATTAGAGGACTGGAGGCTAAAGCATATAAGGAACGGTTGCTGGAATTGGATATGTCTAGTTTAATGAAGAGAAGGACGAGGGGGGACATGACAGCAGTGTTCCAATATCTCAGGGGCTGCCACAAAGAAGAGGGAGTCAAGCTATTTTCCAAAGCGCCTGAAGGCAGGACAAGAAGCAATGGGTAGAAACTATTCAAGGAGAGAAGCAACCTAGAACTAAGGAGAAACTTCCTGACAGTTAGAACAATTAACCAGTGGAACAACCTGCCTCCAGAAGCGGTGAATGCTCCAACACTGGAAGTTTTTAAGAAGAGACTGGACAGCCATTTGTCCGAAATGGTATAGGGTTCCCTGCCTGAGCAGGGGGTTGGACTAGATGACCTCCAAGGTCCCTTCCAACTTTACTATTATTAGTAGTAGTAGTAAAAACTCCTACTCTGACATTTAGGAAAGTTCCCTTATTCTTCTGACATGAATAAAGAAACAAACGAAAAATACTTTGCCCCCTTTCCTATTTGGGGAGCAGAATAGATAGATGCAGATATAGTGATTATATTATTTGCTATATTTTCAGAATTTAAAATATGTTGGGGGGAGGGCATTCAAAAGCTATGATACTTCAAATCATCTCATTATAGTTTGGCTTTGCAATAGGAAAATTGAGAGAGGTAAGCAAAACTAAATAAATGCAAATAACATTGTATTATCTCTGATTAAAATTTTCAATATATGTGCAAAATAAAGGGGAAAATTGAAACAAGCCAGCATTGTTTAATTTGATTAAGAAATAAAATATGCCTTTTTGTACTTGTTCATGAAAAGTCCAACTATTCCCCAGAAGAAAGGATTTTCACAGCTGATATGGAAAACTCATCCTCTCGGGAAGCTTCCTTAGTGTTACAACTAATGCTCTGCTCAGCCTCAAGTAAAGACTGCTTATTTCTCAAAGGATTTTAAACCTGCATTATAGCTGAGATTATCCAATGAAGTTATTGGTTGTATTGTTTCTGTGGAATTTTCATTTTGTGGCACCCTTCTGCTTTTTGTAGAGGATGTTTGTTTGTTTCTCTTCAATCCTCAATGCATTTCCAGTTTTGTTTGTACTTCTTTTTATCACTTTACCATTTATCTTAAATTAGAGATTGGAATACAAGTGCTTTAATTGTAAATTGTAATTGATTCATATTTTTTGCTATAAGAAACAAAGCATGTTTAATTAGAAATTCTAGAATGAAGAATTTTAAAAATTATCAGTGTTAATATGTGAAGGTAAATAAGTTTGTATTACAGTTTAGATGTTCATGAATGATACTAATGAGATCCTTTAAAATATTTTTGCTGTTTGTAACAGGAAACTTTGATAAACATATAGAGTTAGAAAATACGGTAGCACAGTTCCTTGGTGTTGAAGCAGCTCTGGCATTTGGTATGGGATTTGCTACAAATTCTATGAATATTCCAGCATTAGTAGGGAAGGTAAGTGAATATCCTTCCAAATACATTTGTTGTGATCATCAGCCAGGAAATTTAAGATCATTGTAAAGCTGCCTCATTTCTTTTAGAAGGCAAGGCAAGCTGTGGTGGTAATCTTTAGCAAGGGTATTTTAAATTGTAATCAGCTCTCTGTAAGCCATGTTCTCATTAATGTTCTTAAACTATATAAAAATATATATGTTTCCTATTTATTTTACTTCTCCACATATTTTGCATTAAACCTAGTTGATTGAATAATTAACTTTTGCTTCTGACGCTGCTATGTTGAAGGAGCACCTATTAGAATAACCACTAGGAACTTTTTCTCCTATTTAAATACTGCTGAACTAAACACAATTATACAACAACAGACTAATTTCATTTGGGCAGTGTTTAAGAGAAGTTTCTAGGGCTTAACATAAATGAAACCATTGGTGCGTTATAAGCATTTTTAATTATATACAGTAGAATAGTTTTGTCAAAATGTTTATTTGCTTTCATGGGGAATCTATATGATCCAGGAATCAAGCTATTAGAAAATAGACCTATCCATTCTTAATTTTTTATTGATGAGGCAATACTGTGGTCAATAAGCGTTAACTCATAATGGCGATGGTAAGTATAGTTGTTAAAAAAAATCATAGTGCCTATAGTTCAATCAAGGGACTGTGCTAAAACTTCATTTTTTAAACAAAATCTATGTGTTTCTTGTATTTTGTTGCTGAAATTATTTTTATAAGTCTGTTTAGGATTATATAATTAGAGAAATATCTAACTATGCTACTTGAATTTGCATTCATTCAGAGGCATCCACACAATCCTATGATTTCATCAAAATGACCAAGCAAGAATTATGACACTAAAACATTCGTATTGTCTTTCATTCCCAACCTGTTGATGCTTCTGCTTTTGTTTTAAGTCCACAAAAACAAGAGATACATTTGCTGAATCTTCTTTCTTATCTCTGTCAAAAATTTAGTGATTCTTCACCCTTAAGATTGCAAACAATTGTTTCTTCATCCCATCCCTTTTTTTATAGACAGATGCCTCTCTCTCTCCCTCAAATATTGAATTAAAAGAAAACACACCTTAGAACATTATAATAAAATCAGAAGAATAAAATCAATACAGACTAATATTTATAACTAACATATATATGTGTGTATAATATTATGAAGAATTTTGATTATTAATAAAAGCTAATGCAACCTGACCTTGAAAAGAACAGAAAGACTAAGAAGTACAAGGGCAAAGGAAAAAAGAAAGAAAGAAAAAGAATAAAGAAAGAGAAAAGAAATATATAAAAAAATATATAAAACTTAGGTTCCTTGGGTTTTTATTTACTATTTTTAATCGCTGGTGATAATTACAGCGAGGTTAAATAAGGCAAACAATATTATTTGTTTACTTAATTTGTTATATTATGTTAGTTAAATGTTTATTGTAATTCTTTGCTATATATTTCCACAGGGTTGTCTCATTTTAAGTGATGAATTGAACCATAATTCACTTGTTCTTGGTGCAAGGCTGTCTGGTGCTACTATTAGAGTCTTTAAGCACAACAGTGAGTATTAATGAGGCAGCTTTAGCTAACTGATGAAAAAATGAAATTCATGTCCATAGCTGTCTCTCTTTGGAAATAATGTGTTCACACTTTTAATATGTAAGAAAACCCTTTTTTTATTTTCATGGAAAGAGGCCTCAAGTTATCACAGTGAAATTGCCAAAACCGTTATGTTGTTTAAATTTGATTCTCAATTGTAGCATATACTATATTTGGATAAGACTGATTAATCTTGTCTGTATTACAGATTTTGTTTTTTACTCTCATGTTGATAGAGAAAAGATACAAAAGACTAACCTTAGAGATGTCTCTAAAATTTGAGACAGGGATCCTTTAGTGTCATCTTTTGGTGGGAGACTCCAAATGCTAATTAATTTCAGGCTTATTGTCCTTAGTTCTTCTCTATCCTTAAAGAAATCTAAAGTATAGCCAACAGTTAAGAAGGATAACGTTAATATAAAAAAAGCTATCTGAGGCTAAAGCAAATTTTTGTAGCATTAAATTATTATTTAACTTTGGAATCAAATCAGATCACTGTGTTCAAGATTGAACAAACGCTAGAGATATCACTTCAGATATAGATACCGCTGTTACTTTTATCAGTTTTTCCCACCCAGCTATTATCTTATCAGAGGTCCACACAGTGTCTGATAAGCCAAACTATAAATTTGGTAAATATTGAACTAAAACCAAAAACTCTTTCCTAGTTCAACAGAAACCACTTCACTGGATGGAAAATTGATTAAACAATTGCCTTTGTAAAATCCTAGTGGAGTTTATATGTATTTTCACCCTTAAGATGCTGGTTAGTTTCTAGTCAAGAAAGGTTTATATCAAAATCCCTTTTCATTTAAATGCTTAAACATGTTGGCATGTATGAACTGAACATTCTATTGTAAATCTGAAGAGTCAAGTGAGCCGTGTTTTCAGCAATATATAGTGGCTGCGGAATACATATTTTTTTTTTTATTCTGCAATATTATTTCTGTGACTTCTATGACATTGATTGGTGCTGCATTATTGAACTGCAATAAACTAATCTAGGGATGCTATTTAAATTAGGCAATAGTTTTGATGATAATTGATCATATTAACCAAAATGAGAAATATTGACGCAATAGACAGGACCCTTTTCTAAGCTGTTTGTTTCAACAAAAAATAACACGAGTCACAGCAAAATCAATCAAACATGAGTATTCAAATGTTCTGGTCTTATGACCAGAACATTTAAAATAGAATTAATCTTCCTCTTTGCCTTGATTTCACAAATGGCATCAGTTTAAAACCATTGAGGATGATGATTGGAAACCCATTATTGACTTTTTTTGGGGGGGGGAAATGAAAACATAGTATACGGTTTTGATGATTAGAATAAGAATGATAGATTACAGGAAAATGCAAACAATGCTGCAACCATAAAATAGACAGTTTGGTCTAGTGGTTAAGTCACAGGCTAGAAAGCAGGAGACCATGAGTTCAAGTCCCACTTTCACCTTGAAAGCCAGCTGGGTGACCTTGGGCCAGTCACTTTCTCTCGGCCCAACTCGTCTCGTAGGTTTGTTCTTGTGGGGAAAATAGGAGGAGGAAGGAGTAAGTAGGTATGCTAGCCAACTTCAGTTACTGAAGAAGTGACTTCCAGTTTTCTTTTACAGTTAAGTATAGATTTAATTTTTGTTTTATTTATTTGTATCCTGCCTTTATTATTTTTACAAATAAGACAGGATACAAATAAATAAATAAATAAATAAATAAATCCAGTGATGGAGCGCCCACAATTTCTGGGGGTAAGCTGGTCCACTGGTTGATTGTCCTCACTGTCACGAAGTTTCTCCTTAATTACAGGTTGCTTCTCTCTTTGATCAGTTTCCAACCATTGTTTCTCGTCCTTCCCTCTGGTGCTTTGGTGAATAACGTGACCCCCCTCTTCTTTGTGGCAGCCCCTCAGATACTGGAATACTGCTATCATGTCTCCCCTATTTCTTCTTTTCTTTAGACTAGCCAAACCCAAGTCCCGTAACCATTCTTCATATGTTTTAGTCTTCAGGCCTTTGATAAATAAAAGTTACTTCTTTATAATCTTTTTTCTTTATTTTGATTTCCTGTACTTTTGGCATTGGTCTGTCCTCCTTTCTTTTTTCCTCTTTATTCATTCTAGGTATTAGTTCTTGTCAGTTTTGTTTTTAAAAAAAATCTAATAAAGTTCATTTTTTAAAAAAGAAAAGAAATATGGTGGTTTTGCAATGTTGAAGATGATAGGAAACATCGTCCATATAGAGAATTCCCCTTTTTTTAAAAAGTGCATATACTCCCACACATTGCAAAGAGACTTTTTCAAAGACTATTCATAGCCTTTGTATCAAACAGGTTTTTTTTCTACTGGTGGAGATGATGAATGCATCAGATCGGAATGGTACTTTTGATGTCATCAAACATCAAAAACTAAATTGCTGGCATAGATTCTGAGGTGCTTTTGACCTTTTCCTGTATCAGAGTAACAGTATGTAGATTCAATGAATGGAACTCCATTAATTTTTAAAAGCAAATGGAATGTGAACTAAAATTTATTATTTCATTATTTGGTTTCTTTGTCCCTCCAAGCTGAAACAGCATTATATTTTGAATTTTTTGATTTGTAATCAATAACTTGATATAATACACTAATTTGAAGTATCTTGCTTTATATCAGGAAACTTGATAGGCTATTATGACTGAGCAGGAATAAAGTACCAATAACCCTAAAGCATATCACCTTAGTATTTCTGTCAAGTTTAATGGATTTTTTTTTCCTAAAAGAGATTGTGAGAAAATATTGTTATTTATATTTCACTAGGTTCAGTTCATATACTAAAAGGTAAAGTAATAATATTTTATACAGAAGCTTGGTTTGTTTTCCTAAGCATCTCACACTTGGTTTAATTTTTTTACAAAATGGATTTGCGGTTTGTAGAAATATAATATACATATATTTGATAACAATATTTCACATTACCTTGTATTTTTAAAATTAGATATGCAGAGCTTAGAAAAGCTTTTGAAGGATGCAGTAATACAGGGACAACCTCGAAGCCGAAGAGCGTGGAAAAAAATTCTTATTCTAGTAGAGGGCATTTATAGGTATGTAAAATATAAAATTTCAACTGGGTATGCAGATTCTAGAAAATCCATATAAAATGCTCCAATATTGTGCATGTGTTAAGCACAGTAACCAAAAAGCCATAAATTATACTCTGCAAACTGGATTTTTCTTAATTTATTTCTTCTATTGCTTGTATGATTCTGTTTTAAAATTTTTGTTTGCTTTGGGGAAATACTTGGATAGGGAACAGTTGGTATAATATTGGCATTATATTGGATCAATTCATACAGTTTCAGGCATTCCATGTACTCAGTTCTCATTAACTTTCTTGTTCTTCCAGCATGGAAGGCTCTATTGTACGCTTGCCAGAAGTTGTTTCCTTAAAGAGAAAATACAAAGCCTACGTCTACTTGGACGAAGCCCACAGCATAGGTGCTGTTGGTCCTACAGGAAGAGGAGTTGTGGAATACTTTGGAATGGATCCTAATGATATTGATGTATTGATGGGAACATTCACAAAAAGTTTTGGAGCAGCCGGAGGTTATATTGCTGGCAAAAAGGTAACAGCAGCAATCATTGGCATTCAACAATATCCAAACCATTATAAATGGCTCCATCTCAAATTGTGGATTGAGGCAGGAAACAAGAGTAGCCTAAACTTTTGTAAATCCTAGTAATTTTCAAACTTTGCAAGAAGTTTTCCCTCTCAGCTGGGATGGGTTTGCAGCCCTCTGCTTCATTGTGAAACTCTCCAAGAATCTTGAGATTGCACTGCCAAAAGCTGACAGCAAAATGGCCAATTTTTGGTAGCTCGGTTTTACCAGTTTAAGGAAATTACAGGTAGTCTTCACTTAACTACATGAATTGGGACTGGAATTTCTATCACTGTCAGAAATGTAACTACATGACTACATCACTTAGGGATGGAAATTCTGGCACTTCCGGTGGTTGTTGTTGTTAAGCAAATCCTCAAGAGTTGTTAAGCGAGGAAATCACGTGGTCACCACTTGCAACCTCCTGCCAGCTTCCTCATTGCTTTTGTTTGTAGGAAGTCGGCAAAGAAGGTCCCAAATTCAATCACGTGATCGTGAGATGCTGCAACGTAATTGCAAGATGGGTTCCAAACACCCTAATCGTGATGTTATGACAGTGGGGACATTGCAACCAATATAAATCCGAGGACTGGTCATAAATACTAGTTTGTCAGTTTTAAATTCAAAAGGTCACTGAAGGAGTGGTCATTAAGCAAGCACTACCACTAAAACTCAGAGCAAATGTAATTCTCTGCGATGCTTCATGCATCCATTTTCATCTTTAAACGTAGGAAAATAGTCTGAAATGATCTTGCTCTTCTGATCAAGATATTCTTACGCAGTTCTTAGAGTTTTTTGGGGGTAGGGTGGGAGGTTGGTCCAAAGCAAAAAATAAATAAATGCTGATCCGTAGCCTTGAATATCTTACTGCTCTGTCTCTAAAGATCTTTGTCTGAGCCAACATGCATAGATACCATCCCAAGTGATACACTGTGGAGCAGGGGTCTTCAAACTTGGCCCTTTTATGACTTGAGGACTTCAACTCCCAGAATTCCTCAGTGTGCCTGGCTGAGGAATTCTGGGAGTTGAAGTCCACAAATCATAAAAGGGCCAAGTTTGAAGACCCCTGCTATGGAGCATAATCAGTATTCCAACTTCAGAATGCCTTCTTTCCCTCTGTTGGGGATGGGGATCTCTTTCTCTCCTCATACTACTCATACTAGCCATTTGTGACACCATTGGGTTACACCCTGCTAAGAGTTCAATCACCTTTGAAGACTGACAAATGGTTTCAGAGTGCTCATATGGCATAGAATGCAGGGATTTTTAGTAATTCCCAAGGATAGTAAGAATAAACATGTCTTCTGTGTAGTTAGCTCTGTCAGGATTTCATTCAACACAGCAAGGTTTTTCTAATTAAAGTTGTCAAAGCCTGTTGTAAGTTGAAAATACAGCAACTATTTGCATATTGCTCTCAAGCGCTTTCAAAATGCTTTGATAGATTTAATCATGAAAATGCAAGCATATAAGTGTCCTGAAAACTTACTAGGAAAATTGTCCTGTTTAATTAGTCATACCAATGTATGAACTGTCTCTTTTAGTTTACCTGCTGAACTTGCCAAACTAGTACGGTATGTACAGCTAAACATAAATGAAAAGGGGCGTTGTCTTACCTGAACGCCTTTTCTCAGCACGGAGATGGAGAATCCACCAATGGGTTTAGACTGTGTTCCTGCCCAATCAGATCAAGTCAGTCAAACTTGCCACGCCTATCCTAGGTTAGGAGTCCCAGTCTCGACGCGGGCGAAGCCATTGACTGATAGCAAGACATGTTGGCTCATAAAACTAACCCTAGGCCTAAAGGACCTGCGAGGGTGGGAGTGGATTCTCCATCTCCGTGCTGAGAAAAGGCGTTCAGGTAAGACAACGCCCCTTCTCCAGCACTGGAGATGGAGAATCCACCAATGGGACATACCAAAGCCTACTGTCCCTGAGGGAGGGAAGCAGGCTGGTCCGGTGTGATACCTCGAGGTACAACCTGCTGGAGAACCCTCCTGCCAAAGGAAGCCTCTGCCGAGGCAAACCTGTCGATCTTATAATGGCGTATAAAGGGCGATGGTGAAGACTATGTGGCCCCCCTACAAACGTCCTTGATGGACCCCTGAGTAGCCCAAGCCGCAGAAGTAGCCGCACTGCGGGTTGAGTGGGCTGTGACACGATGTGGAACCGGCAATGACTCAGACTGGTACGCCTCCGCAATACATGCCCTGATCCACCTGCCGATCGTGGAGGAGGACACCTTCCAACCCTTGGAAGAAGGATGGAAAGAAACGAAGAGGGCTTCCGAATTGCAAAAGTTAAAGGCAAAAGGTTCTTCAGCCAACTGAAAGGGAAAGAAACTGCTGAATACAGCACTGCTCAGAAGACTGAAGGGAATAGAGAATAAAGAATCCACCAATGGAAACTGTACCTGCCTAAGAGCCAACTTGCTACCTCTGTCTTGGGCAAGATCAAGTCAAGACTGGGATTCCTAACCCAGGATAGGCGTGGCAAGTTTGGCTGACTTGATCTGATTGGGCAGGAACATAGTCTAAACCCATTGGTGGATTCTCCATCTCCAGTGCTGGAGAATTGTATTTTGCATAAATAGTAAGGTTAGCGTTCTGAACTTTCAATTCCTATATTGTTTTGAAGTGAATATGAGAGCTGGATATGGGTAGCATATTGTGTTTAACCATTAGACTTTATGAGGGTGAAGGTTCCTTCTCTGAGCTTGTGGGTTGGTTTCCGAACATTTCGATAACAGGCTAGGTAACACCTTCAGCAGAGTTTAGGGGATGTCAGTGTTTTTCTGTTTATGAGGCTTCAGGGGTGGGTGTGTCTTGTGATGGGTCAGGTGTGAGTCATCAGTGAGAGGCTTGTGATGGTCTTGTGATATAGGGAGGTTACATCAGGTTAGTGATGTAGGTGAACTGCTGGTCGGGAGTGGGGACTTGCGTGGGTTGGTTGAGGGTTGGTGCTGTCTCTGGTTGGCTGTGTGGTTGATTTGGATTCTGAGGGTTTTGTAGGCTGGTTGTAGGTCAGTGTGTCTGTTGATGGAATTACTTGTGGAGTGCTGAGCTTCGATGAATTCACGAGCGTGGCGGGTGGTAGCGTGGCTGATGATTTTAGTGTTGCTCCAATCGAACTGGTGTTGTTTGGTGTTGGTGTGGATAAAGATTAAGGATTTGGGATCTTGGCGTTAATCTCTAACCACACCAACACCAAACGACACCAGTTCGATTGGAGCAATGCTAAAATCATCGGCCACACTACCACCCGCCATGCTTGTGAGTTGACCTACATTGTTGCTCTGGCCAAGTAGCACTATTTCATTCTTCTGGGTATATGATACACGTACTACTTTTGAATAAAATCAAGATAAGGCATTTTGTGTTTTTTTCAAGATAATTTGGAAATACATTTTTCTTGCCATGTACTGATTTTGTTTCTTTATTTGTCTTGACTGTTAAACATGTTTGGAGAAAAATTCAATGATAAGGGGACAAAAATTTAATTGTCATGCGGTGATAAATTAAATCATGTCAGCTGCAATTTTATGCACAGGAAGAAGGCTATTTATTCTCATTTGCCAAACTTTTATTCTAGCAGAAGAGGGTTTTTGATGACCAGACTGAAATATTGTTCTTTTGATTTAAGGAATTAGTGGACTACCTACGAATTCATTCACATAGTGTAACTTATGCCACATCTATGGCTCCTCCTGTAGCAGAACAAATTATAAGAGCAATGAAATGCGTCATGGGACTAGATGGGACAACACAAGGTAGGATATTTCACTAACCTGGTCTTATTTGTATTGAAAATGGATGGAATTATCGTCATAATAGCATGTACTGTAAACGTATTTGGTATCATGAATGAATGCAGCTGTATTTTTCTATGGTCCAAGTATGAGCAAGATGCTCATTCTCAGACCAAGATATCTGGCTCACATAATTCTCCTTGTTGGAGGACGATGCGTGCTCTGCCTTGAAGGATGTTTCATGCTTTACCTTGTCCCCTGCTCGTTCCGTGTTTTATTATCTAATTTACATATTTAAATATACAGACAGTCCTTGATCTACAACTGTTATTCAGCGACCATTTCAAGTTATGATGACACTAAACAAATGGCAATTACAACTGGTCTTTAGTGCTCCAACCACTCCAATGGCCCCCACCACCACAGTCACATGATTGTGATCTGGATGTTCGGCAGCTGATCTATGCTTATGATCGATTGCAGCACTCCGCAATCCTGTGACCATCATTTGCAATCTTTCCTGCCAGGATCCCTAGAGAGTTAATGGGGAAGCCGGCAGAGAATATATGTCCCCCGCCCTGTGCGCTCTCCCCCATCCCCTCTGCATTCACAGTGCAACAGCCATTCATAGACCCTGCTAATTCTCACACATCCTCCTCAACCTGATTTTTTGTGCTGTCTTCAAGTTCCTTATTTCAGGGAAGGATGTTGGGGGTGGGGTTGTCACATTAGAGCTCCAGAGACCCCTGGAGGAAGGTTATTGGACCCATTAAATCTGGGTTCAGAGAAGGACATAGTACTGGGACAGCTTTGACAATGACCCTCCTGGGAATGGGGCATGCATCCATCCTAGCTCTCTTTGACCTTTTAGTGGCTTCTCATGCTATCCATCCATGGGATACTTCTGGACTGGCTCTAGGAATTAGAGGCAGGACACATAGTATTACAGTAGTTCTTTCTTCCTCCATGTTCAGCTCCTGTCAGTGTTAGCCGGAGGGGAAGCGTCTAGCCCTAGGCTCCTGCTGAGGTAGCATACCTCAAGGCTTTACTTCCCACATCTGCATGAAACCATTATGACATGTAAGTTGTATGAGGTGCCAGCATAGAACAATTACAGAAGTAACACTCCAAAGATGCTTTTTCACGAGGCAAACTGGACTTTCTTTGAAGACATTTTGCTTCTCATCCAAGAAGCTTCTTCAGCTCTGACTGGATGGTGGGGAATTTCCCACCATCCCTACCGTCCAGTCAGAGCTGAAGAAGCTCCTTGGATGAGAAGCAAAACGTCTTCAAAGAAAAACAAGAAAGTCCAGGTGCCTCCTGAAAAAGCACCTTTGGGATAACTCTGACCTGCATGACTGAGAATCTCCCTAGACATACAGAAGTAACATATTACCTCCGCAAGGTGTCTGCTGTGAGCAGAATTATCGTACCATTTCTAAAGTGGCACCAAGCCATGGAAAACTTAATTTATAGGTAGAGTTTGCAATTGACATCACAAAAAATAGACTGATCAAAGTGTTTTTGTATATAAAACATTCTTGCCAATGGAGGGCAATATTGTCCTGATTTTTCTAGTATCTTCCCAAGCTTGAGAAGTAAATTACAGGTCTTTATTTCAGCACTATTTTTAATGCAAATGCTCTCCTATAACATCTGTGCTGTTACTGCATACTCATTGGAACAATGCATTGGCTCTAATTCACATTATAACACCAAGTGGTAAATTGCATAGTAACATTTTTTTTGTGTGCACAGGCATCTTTATTTGCTTAAATGCTAAGAATGTTTGAAATGTTTAGAATGTACCTGTTCCTTTTTGTTGTTTGAATAAGGTGTGGCTATATTATTAAAAAAAGTGCCTTACTTAGCATTGCAAGCATGGGAGAATAAGATTCCTAAATGTAAAAAGCTAGTTCAGGGGTGTCGGGGTGGGGCTGTACATCACCTTTTTCTAACAAATTCTTATAATTGCATTTGCCCTGACCCACAAGCCAATCTGCTCACCCTCCAACTGGCCAATGGGAAAATCAAAATAGCAACATTCCAAATAGTACTCTTTTCTTACATGTTCATCACTGCTCAGATAATTTGGTTGTGATGAGGAGATGCAACTATAGTGTCTCGACTTCAAGGAAGAAGGGGGGTGTTGAGAATCTGGGAGGCAAATGAAAAACACCTGCACCACAGTCCCAAAGGAAATGCTGCAAAGGGATATTTGAAGTGTTTCTTTGGGCCTCTTCTTGAAGTTAATCACTTTAGCTCAGCTCAGCTTATGAAGAGTTCTGCAAACTTCATAGGAATAACAAAATAACAGAGTTGGAAGGGACCTTGGAGATCTTCTAGTCCAATCCCCTGCTCGGGCAGGAAGCCCTACATCCTATACTGTATATTGTGCAGAGAGGAACACCGCCCCTCTGTTGGATCAGATCTGTTTTTGCATATGGATGGAGCCCAGACTAGAGCAAATCTTGTTGATAAGTATTTTGTTTGTTGTTTTCTGGGCAACCTTTCTGGAAATGATTGGCCATTGCTTTCTCCCTAGGGCTGAGAGAGAGTGACTGGCTCAAAGTCACCCAACTGACTTTGTGTATAAGTCAGGACTAGAACTCACAATCTTCCATTTATAGGTTGATGCCTTTAACCACTATACTAAATTGACTTTTTCTTTTGATGTAGCTTTTATTAAATGTGAGGGCCACCTTACAATGAAGAAGAGAAACTTTTGAATTGGTCTTGCTCTCATTTGCTGTTAACAATAATATTTGGTGGGGTAGTAATCTATCTTCGGTTTAACGGTGAGACCAGAAGTTTATTTAATCTCTGGCACACTAGAGGCTTGAGTTCTGCCAAACCAGTTTTTATTTAAAAAAAAAATTCTGTTGTAAATATAATCTGCATGTTATCAAGGCAGAGCACATGTTCTCTGTATATTTCTTAACATTTAGGCAAAACTCAATACTTTTCAGATTTTGTCTGGCTCACTTTTGATTTCTTTAAAACTAAGGATCTTTGTCATAGATAACTAAGATGGACAAAAAATTCTTGCTTTGGCCTACTACATGTTTTTATGATGTTCATGAAATAGACTCAGAGTCCATAAACACCCACCTACCAAATTCAATAGTGCATCATCTTGGGAGCAGATTATTATTTGACTGTATCTGTCTCTTTCTGTATCTGTCTCAGATTTGGAAGAGTTACGTTCCCTGATTCTCCTCATTGACCGCATCATACGTCAAGTGCCAGGTTTTATCCAGATATGGAAAAAAAATATGTCCGTCTGGAAGTTTCTTTGCATCCAGTTAACAGCTACTGTAAATGCAGAAGCTTCATAGAAAATCTGTTTTATTACAGGCAAGATATCATATTTATGCAGAATATCTGCCTATCGCAGAACACAAGAATCTACAAAGTATATACACACATATTTATTTAAAACATTTTTATAGCCACCCCTCTTATAACCAACTCTGGGCAGCTCACAATCAAAAGTTAAAACAGCATAAAAGCCATATTAAATCTATAAAAAGTAAACACATTGAAAACAAAAACCTGGCAACAAAGTCAAAACTTCTGACGTACAGTCACTTCATTTTATCCCAGGGTTTGGGAGTAAAAGCCAGGTCTTCATAACTTTACGGAAGGCTAGGGATGCCTGCCAGGGGATGAGTCTTCCATAGGTCAGGGGCTGCTTCAGGAACAGCACATTTCCTAATTCCCATAAGGTGACAATATTTAGGGGAAGGAACTAGGAGCATGCACATCCAATTTGCTCTGATAGGATGGGTAGATGTTCTTAGGGAAATTGGTCCCACAGATAACCTGACCCTGTGCCAGATAAGTTTTTAATGGTGATGAGCAGCACTTTGTATTGTACCCAGAAAGAATCTGGGAGCCAGTGCCTGGACAAACCTCCCCCCCCCCCAATAACTGTGCATGCTGCTGTATTCTGGACCAGTTGATGTTTCAGTTGGTGTTCAAGCCATGTAGGACTTAGTAGCCCATTTATTAAAGGCCATTGAAGGAACACGAAGAAGCCAGCAAGCCATCTCTCTTCCAAGGAAAAGTATAGAGCAGGGGTGTCAAACTGCCGACCCAAGGGCCGGATGCATCATAGTGAAACCACGCCCACCCCATTGCCGGCAATGGCAAAAAAAAGTCGCTATACGTCGCGACACGTCACGTGACGTTGTGAGTTTGACACCCCTGGTATAGAGGATCAAATTAGCCTTTGCCTAGAATTGCTGCTACACCTGCAGCTGAACGCGCTTTCATTTTCTTGCTCACCAAGTGTTTTCATAAAGGAAGGTTTCCTAACAGACTCCACTCAAACATCAATGAAAAGTTTAATGTATGTGTTGGAATCACAACAGAATTTATCTTTCTTCCTCTAATAGAAAGAACAGGCTTTTAGACTGTAGGTAAATATCGAGACATATTTATTTCTTCTAGTGACTTTGCGTGAAGCTGCATAAGCTTCACGCAAAGTCTTGGTATCTGTTTATAGATACCAAGAAAGAATCGGGGTGGGTGTGTGTGTTCAACTCAGCTGAGATGTTGGCAAGATCTGAAGGTGGCAGATAAAGAATGAAAATAATCCGCTGGATTAAATTCTTAGAAGAGGACTAAAGAAAATATGAGTTTTCATTCTGCAACTGGGGTTAAATTCATATTATTGTGGCAGGGGGATGATATTCCCTCTTCTTAGTCACCCCATTCAGCCACATCAGAACAGCTTATCTCAGAACAGCTTATCTCAAACCAATCAGAAGAAAAGATAGAGATTTTATTTAAAACTCCCCCCCCCCATTTAAATGGCCTTTTTCTAATAGGAATTAAACTTTAACAGGAATTATATTTTTGTAAGATGCTTTCTCTGTGCCACTCCCCCATATATAATTCAGAGCTAGTGCCCATCCATAGGAAAAGCTTACTCTTAATTTTTTAAATAGTTACATTTATAGTAATTATACTTATACCACACACATACAAATACTTCTTGAATTTATCAATCCAGA